TTGGAAGCAAGACAACACTTGTTTTGGAGCAAAACAAGAGAAGGGAGGAAAGTAGCACGGAGCTGTGAAATCCTGGATTGTCACACGGAGCTGTGAGATCCGAAGCAGCAGTGTCGGAGGCACTGGGCGTGATTGGTGTGGGCTTGGTGATCAAAGCACCAGATCACGGATACGTTTCTACCGGAGTGTGGAAGACGGGGGGAAAGTAACGCGGAGTCGTGAAATCCTGGGATAGTAGCGCGGCGACGTGAAACCCGAAGCAGCAGTGTGGTGTCACTGGGCGTGATTAGTGCGGGCTTTGTGATCAAAGCACTAGATCAACCTCTTTTGGGACCAACACAAGAGTTACCTCTTAGCCTTAATTAAATCTTCCTTAGCTCCCAAGGTCTTTCCCTACGATCTTCCTCCAATTGATCTCCCTAGGTTTGGTGAAGGGGAATTTTCGAGTACTAGTGTTATGGGTGGAAATGACTCTAAAAGCTTTCTAACCCCCTATATATAGATTTAGGACTCCTAATTAGAATATGAATAGTAAAGGCCCTCTTTCCTTATTTTTATCTAAAAAGGGATTAAGGTCCAGATTCGTTGAACCAAGGATAAAGTCCAAATTTGTTAAACCAAGGATCAACCTGTTAATCAAAAGAGTCATTTTATTGTTCATCCCCTGCTAACCTGCTAAGAGAAATAGAAAAAAATTGTGAACACTTCCATTTGTTAAACCTATTTTGCTCTCATATTTTCCATCGATCGCCAACTTCATCGCCATCTGTACTCAAATTTTATTGTCAATAAAAACAAAAGGCTAGGTGATATGCATCCTCAAATTGTGAGAGAGAATAAAACAGGGGATAAGTTTTCAATGATGAAATCTCGCTACAGAATTTTGACTTTATAAATAGGAAAAATAAAAAGGTTAATGAGTAGATGAAAATAAAAAAGAAGGTAAAATATGACAAGACTCTTCATAGGACTTCAAACTAAACACAATGCCAAAGATTGAGTTTCACACAACTGTCCACACAGATAGCTCAGTCAATTCTTGAATGGTTGATTGTAGAAAAAGGACACATGATTGAATCTTAACAGTCATAGTGTGAGAGTCACACCCAATATGGTGGCTCATTGTGGGCACCCAGCACTGGTCCTACCACCTAATGGGTCGTTAAGTCACCGTGATTTACCATCTCCACAAATCCTGTCTGGTCGAGATGTACGGCCCAGAAGTGAGGAATTTCGCCTTTTGCGGTCAAGAGTTTCACAGAATAAATATGTTGACTAGAGGCATAATGGGGTGTTTGGTTGGGAGAAGGAATTAGGAAGGAAATGAATTGTATCAAGAATTCATGTTCATATAAACCACTTAAACTATTTTTTTTTTTTTTGAAATCAACCATAACGATTGTATTAATGAATCATCGAAGCAATAGAGTCAGGAGAGATTGCATCCAATACATAGAGTTATCCTGAGTAAAAGCTAACGAAGCTAAAGTATGTGCATGTAAATTAATCTGTCTAGAAATATTACTAATAGAGCAATAAATAAAAGAAGCCATAGATAGCCTGCAATGGTCTACTACAACCCCAGCATAGGATAATATAGGTGGCGAGGTGTGGTGCAAGACACTCCGCGACTCTGAACAATCAGTGAGAAGATCCACCGTCATGACATTCCTTCCCCTTAGCCAGGATAATGCTTCCTTACGAGCCGTGGCCTCTGCCATAAGAGGTGAAAAGCAGACCGGCAACTTGCCATTTGTTGCTGCGATAAAAGCTCCGTCCGTAGTCAGAAGAACTGCTCCATACGTAGCCTCATCGGACGAAGGCTTGTAGCCGGCGTCGATGTAGCAGCGCGGCCGTGTATGTAGCGGCGTGGACGGCGCTGCCGATTGGTCTCGGATGGGACTGCTCGGGTGACTCTGGCTGCCGCCGGACAACAGTTGGGTGCAACAAAGATCCTTCCCATACCGCCGCATTCTGGGTCTTCCATAGATGATAAAGCACGGCCAACATCAAACGAATCCGCTCCTCCGTTAAAACTGCCAACACACCCATAATCCATGAGGGAAAAGAATCCGTTACAAAATTCATAACGGGTAAGCATATAATATCCCATACAAGCCTAGAATAATTGCAAAGTACTAATGCATGCATAACATTTTCATGAGTCACTCCACACATCTTGCATGTTGGGTCTACTTCTACCCTCTTTATAATCAAATTATCAAATTATTTGTAGTAGGGAGGATATCACAAACTGCCCTTCACAAAAAAGTTATCCACTTGGGTGGAACCTTTAACTTCCAAATAGTTGCCCATTTGTCAAAAGCACCCGGGCCACATACATAATCACCAACCAGTTTCCTATAGGCATTCTTCAATGAATATATTCTTTTAGGGTCGCCAAGCCAATACCTTGAGTCCTCATAATCTGGGCTCACAGGAATTTTAGATATTCTGATCACATCATCCGGGATAAATAAATCAGATAGGATATGTGGATCCCAATTATTAGTTTGCTGATCAATTAAACCAGCAACCAAAGCATCCCTTAACTGTATGGGCATTTCTGTCTGAACCAAAGGACTGGGATCATCAGGCAACCAGGGATGTCCCCATATTAGAGTTGATTTACCATTACCCACCCTTCGCCTTACGCCAGCTACAACAGTATCATGTGCTGCCATAATACTTCTCCAGCAATAACTTGGGCAATTTCCTATGGTTGCATCCACAAAAGAGGTATTAGGATAATATCGTGCCTTATAGACTTTTGCAACCAGAGTGTTGGGATTAGTTAGGAACCGCCAGCCCTGCTTCCCTAGCATTGCCAAATTAAATTTACGCAGGTCTTTAAAACCCAAACCACCATAATTCTTTGGAACACACAGCTTATCCCAAGCTTTCCAGTGAATTTTCCTATCCGCTCCACTTCCCCACCAGTACCTATTCATGGTCCTCTCAATAGACAAGATAACAGAGTCTGTCAATAAGAAAATGCCCATTGTAAAAGTTGGCATAGCCTGCGCCACACTTTTTAATAAAACCTCTTTACCAGCCTGCGAGAGCAGCTTTTTGTTCCATGATCATATCCTCTGCCTGATTTTATCTTCCACATAAGAAAAAATTGCCCTCTTATTCCTACCCACAAATGATGTTTCCCAAAATTAGGGGCTTGGTCAACCTGCAAGCAATTCGCCACAGCTAGTCTTTCCGCATCCTGTGTATTTCTGCTAAAACAGATATTAGATTTATGAAAATTTAGCATTTGACCAGACAAATTTCATAGCGTTTCAGGCATTGCTTAATCACAGTGGCCTCCTGAACGTTCGCCCTGAAAAACAGCAAGCTGTCATCCGCGAAAAACAGATGCGAGATAGGGGGAGCTCCTCTAGCCACCCTGCATCCGTGTATAGATCCCGCCATCTGTGCTTTCTGTAACAACAAAGACAGTCCTTCTGCACAAATAATAAACAAATAAGGGGAGAGGGGATCCCCCTATCTGAGCCCCCGAGTGGGTGTTACTCGGCCTCCTATTATCCCGTTCACGAGAATATTATATTCAACAGTGGCTACACAGAGCATAATCAATTTAACCCATCGTTCATCAAACCCCATCACCACCAACCCTTATCCAACTTCAGAGCCCCCCAACCTGTGGCCCCACATTGTTTCCTATTCAAAAAATGACCAACCTCTGCAGCAACAAGGATATTATCTGTGATCAGCCTACCAGGGATAAAAGCACTCTGAGACTCTGAGATCAAGTCCCCCATGAGTGGTTTCATCCCGTTAGTTATCATTTTAACCATAATCCGGTATAACACATTACCCAGAGCTATTAGCCTCATATCAGATACTGTTTCAAGCACAGCTTTTTCGGGATTAAAACCACATTTGTATCATTTAAACCATCCGGGAAAGAGGCATTATTCAAGCAATTCACCACCAAAATTAGACACATCACCCCCAACCACATCCCATAAGTGCGGATAGAAACCCGGATTCATTCTATCTGGCCCCGGTGCTTTATCAAGGAACATAGAAAACAGAGCAGTTTTGACCTCCTCCGGCACAAAAGGGTGCAATAATTCATTGTTTTGTGCATGGGACACTCGAGGGTAAAATCATCAAATAAGGGGTCCACACATTCAGAAACACCAGAGGCAAAGATAGTTTTAAAATAATCTAAAACTACCCGGTTCATAGCCTCACCCTCCAGCCATACCCCTGCATCATTCATAATTTTAGAAACATAATTCTTTTTTTTTTTTTTTTTTCTGAGCAAAGGCACACTCGTGATAGAATCGCGTGTTGACATCTGCACCACGTAGCCAATGTTGCTTAGCACGCTGTCTCCAGAACACATCCTCCTGGGCTTCTAACTGGCTCAACTGACTCTCCACGCGTTGGAATTCGGCTAGAGCAGCAGAATCCCTACGGTTCCTGATCTCCTCTTGCCTATTCCGAAGGTGCTTTATTCTGTGCAGAATCCCTACGGAAGTGGTCACCCCCCATCTCGCACTACAAGAAAAATCGCGAATTGATAAGATTCCGTCGCGAATCGCGTTTTGGCACGGAATCACGGAATCGCGACGAAATTTTTTCCGTCGTCTATCACCTTGTCGTATTTTGATAGACGACGGAATAGTTCCGTCGCAAACTTTGGCGACGGACTTCGCGACGGAACATTTCCGTCGTAATTCCGTTGCAATTTTCACAACGGAACTTTTCCCGTCGCTACTTCTGAGCCGAATATTCCGTCGCCATATTATCTTTTCCGTCGTGAATTCCTTCGCAAAAACACGACGAAAATGTTTTCCGTCGTGATTCCGTCGCTTTGTTTGCAACAAATATTCCGTCGTAAATCTTATATTCTATCGCGATTCCGTCGCGTTTTTTGAATTATTTTAAAATAAAATTATGATTTTTAAATAGTAATGAATGTTTTTAAAATATGAATATAAAAAATACTATTAATTCTAAAATAAAATATAACATAATTCTACATTAAGTTGAAGTAATAATACATTACCAATCCACATTTAATACATAATAATAGTCAATTCAAATCTAAACAACATAATAATACATTATCAATCTACATTTAATACATAATAATGGTCAATTTAAGTCTAAACAACATTGTAATAGTCTTAACAAACAACCATTAAAATCAATTGATTTGAGATGGAGGTGATGATGAAGTACCCGCTCTCCCGCCATCAATAGCATCAAGTCGTTGTTGCGTAAGGAGAATATTAGCAACAGAACAACCATATGAACAAAGTCCATAAACTCTTCTTTTCTTGTCGTGTCCACCAACCGCGTCATAGTATAATTGATTATCATCCACATGCTCCCCATTTTCTGCAAACATCTCGCATTGCAATGCAACTTATTCCTAAAATATTTAAGAAATTTAGTACAAAATATATGTAAAGGCATATATATTTTAAAAAAAAAAACTTAAAATAAATTAAACTTACATGAATTTGTTTGGCTTTTTTCAGCTATGAATGTTTGCCCGTCATGTTGTTTGGTATGTGTATGCTTGAACGGTTTATAATACGATGGACAATGACCCAATTGCCCTTCCTACAAATTATATTTAATAAACAAAAGCAATTTTTAAAGTAAGATACAATTTTTATGAAGATGCTCATGTAGAAGGGGCAAAAGAGAAGGCAGAGTACTAAAAAACAGTGCACAACGCTTATCCCATTACATCTGCCACATTTTCAGGTTAGATTGCAAGGCAATCACAATCAATGCTAATAAACTTGGAAGAAGAGGAGGAACAAGGGCAATTAATCTACTTGTATGGTAGTAATTAAAGCTATGAGCCCTTATAGAGCATTCTGCCTCATTATTGATTCAGTGGCCAGTGGGGAGGGTGAAACTAATAGAACTGATGATCTTGGATGATGTTGCCAAACATAATATATAAATAACACATTTTAAAAAATAGAAAATAGGAATAAAGCAGTTTATTTAATTTTTGGAAATGTTGTATAATAATATATACTTGGTAGCAGTAATGCTAAAGACATTTTTTATTGATTAGCAAACATCAAATTGAAGAAGAATGAAGTAAAAATAGTTGAAGATATTGAGTGGTAAAGTTCAAGTGCCCACAAATTCACAAAATTGCTCTATGTTTCCTAATTTAGTGATTTTTTAAGATGATAAAAGTAACAGTTTTACATAATTAGCAAACAAAAATAAATTCAAGGAGACATCTTATTGAGTCCAAATGAAATCAAGTTCCAAACCTTTCTAAGGTAGAGTGGCACAACTTCTTTAGAGCCACAGAATTTTGCCGGAGTAATTTTGCAGGCATCAGTAAGATGAATGTCATCAACCTGTCACATGTAGATTCAATTACGTTCAGATTTCAACTCAACTGGATGAACTGAACATGTGTTGGGGACAAAGAATCACTGAAAAATCAACCTACCATTTATATCATATAGTTAAGTTTAAGGAGGTTGTTAGAGGAAATTGTAACCCTTCGCATACAGTTTTTATCAAAACTTCTGAAGTTGGATGCAATAAAAAAAAAATGTAGGCCATTTATATCACTCTTACACCCAGATTAACCAAACACTAGTAAGGGAAGTACATTTACCTTTCCAAGAGAATAAATTCTATTAAAACACTCCCCCTTCATTCTACCTCCTTGAACTAATATTAATACTAATAGTGTCAACACCCAAGTTGGTATAATTCCTGGTGAATTTTAATTTTATTGTTTTAATAATTCAGTAAACAGTGCCAGCATTTTTGTTTCCACATAATACGAACTTCAATATAGAATGGCCATGTGACATAAAGAATCAACACATATTATAGAGCATTGTAACTCAGATGTATAATACAAATTACCAGTACATTTGTAACTCAAGAAAAGTCATGTTACAATGCTCTATTGTAACTTACATATTTGACAAGAAGAAAAGTTTAGCACTACAAATTTATAGAAGAAAAAACTAATATATATTCAATTCATCATTCAGCAAGTCTGGAACAGCACTGCTAGCTAGGGCTCACGGAGGGTTCAACAGATTTAGTACATCATTCAAATTTAATATGCAATTTCATATTAGGGTTATGAATAATTGTAACAGTAGTGTGGATGAATAATTCAATTTAAGTTCATCATTCAATTTCATAACAAATTAGGAGGAGGGTTCAACAGAAGGAGAATTATTTAAAGAATTACCTTCAAATCAGGAGGAGGGTTCAACACGGCTGCACTGCAACGAGGAGGAGGAGGCGACGGCAAAGGTTGCACGGCAATGGCTGTGTTCTGCGATGGCGTCGAGGAGTTCTGCGATGGCGTCGAACGGATGTGCTCTGCGATGGCATCGAGGAGTTCTGCGTCGCTGAGTTTTCGCTGAGTGTTGGAGTGTTCGCTGAGGAGATTTTTCACTTAGGTTATAAATTTTATTTTATTTTATTTTTTAATTTCATATTCAAAATGTCAACATTTAATGTATAATAAAAAATAAAATTTAGCAAAAATATTGCGACGGAATCCAATCGGTCGCAATTTCCGTTGCAATATTTAGTCAATACACAAAAACATAATTCATTTAACGACGGAATCCAGCCGGTCGCAATTTCCGTCGCCATTTCGCGACGGAACGAAAATCCATCGCCTTTTCCATTGCGAAATGGCGACGGAAATTAGTTCCTTCGCAAATTCGGTCGTGAACGGTTTGTCGCCAATATTTTGCGGGCTTTATTTATCTTTGCGCCAAGATTCGCGACGGAATTTAATTCCATTGCCACTTCCGTCGCCATTTAGCGACGAAATGTATTTGGTCGCTTTTTCGGTCGTTAAATTGCGACGGAATATTGTCCGTCGCGATTCGCGATTTTTCTTGTAGTGTCATCAAACGATATCCACACTGCTGCTGACAATCCAGCAACCCCTGAGCCCTCCCACCCTGCCAAGTAGTCTCAACCACCTTCCTACAGCCATCATCATGAAGTCAGGCCATCTCGAACTTAAAACTCCTCGAATTTCTACCCCTCTGTATGCATGATGCATTAATGTTGAGGAATAGAGCCGAGTGATCCGAATTACGCATTATAATATTTTCAACCACAGCACCACCATTCATATCGCACCAACCAGTCGTGGCCAGAACCTTGTCCAGACGCTCCTCCAACCACCCCTCCGTCCCCTTACTCTTTTCCCCATAATATCCTGTCATTCGCCACACTAGCCCATTCGTGTGACTCATCTCCACATCAACATAATTTTTCGAATAACTTAGCAAACACGCCGTGTTATTCTTCTTCCAAAACAGAGCTATTCCACCACTCTGCCCCGTACTATAAACGTAAAACAATCCTTCAAAACCAAGACGTACCCGGAGGCGTTCCGCATGCACACGCCCCACCATTGTTTCCATTAAAAACACAAACTCAGGCTTCTTATGGGATACTAGGTCCTCAACTTTCCGAACTGTTCGTGGATTGCCCAAGCCACGACAGTTCCAACTTATGATACTCATAATGATGGGCGGGTCTGGGAGCCAGAACCCGCCGTAAACAAGTTTTTTGGAACCTTGGTCATTGTAACATCCTCCCCTCGCCCTTCCGACCTCCCACCACCTGTGAGGTCCTCGCTACGCCTCTTCGCAACTGCTACCAGGCCCTCGGCCTCCTCCCGGACACCCCCCTCGACTGCCATACCCGTATTCAATGCTACGCCGGGACCCCTTTCCCTGGTTACCTCCCTCGGCTGCCCGTCCGGCGGTAGTAACCAACTCTCACCAACCGCCCTAAGCCCACGCCGGAACCGTGCACGCATCTCCCCAGAGTACGGATAGTCTTCAACAGCCAACGTCGACTCTCGTGCATGCAAACAAAACTTATAGAGATGGCCTAGCTTGCCGCAAAAGAAACAAAAATTATGCAGACGTTCATACCTGAACCCCACCCAACATGTCGTTCTATCCCGCTTCATAAACCTCATTCTTCGGCGTAGGGGTTTATCAACCGGTACTGCCACTCTAATGCGATAAAACTCCTTCCACGGAGCCCCGCCAAATCTGTTATCCACCTTAATAAACGATCCCAAGGTGTTCCCAATCTGCTCCAATATCTTATCTGACGTATATCCCATCGGCAAGGCGTGTACCTATATCCACATATCAAGAGTGTATAACCGCACATCAGTTGGCAACACCCCGTCCGCAAGTGGCCGGCACACCAGTGTAGCATTATCATACGCTCATGGCCCCTCCTCCATCACACGTTCCAAGTCTGTTTTATGGTGGAAAACAAACATGAATAGCCGGGGTTGTATTTCCATGACCTGCATGCCCTTGACCGGTTGCCAAACCGACGCCAAGACTTGGCTCATATACTCGATTTTCACCAACTTCTGCGTCATAAATCTGCCCACTAACAGCCATGTCTGCTCGTCTCCGGCCGCACCTGCTACTGCCTCATCCGGCATCGGCTCAAAGGTGAATTCATCTTCCTCTAATGCCATATCACCCCAACGCTCTGTTATGGCCGCGACACCTTCCTCCGCCTGCTGTGTCATCATTAGGCAAGACAAAGCTTTGATTTGGAATTCGATCCGCCGTACTGTTACGTAGAAACCGACGATTTTCCGTAGAAAAACCAAGAAAACTGTAGGGAAACCCTAGGATAGCCTAGAGAGAGAAAAAGTAGGTTTAGGCTTCGTCCCGCTTATTACTTCGGTATCTGACCACCACTTAAACTATATATCATATTGCAGTTGGACATTTTTGTCCAACAAAGAAAAAATAATAATTTTTTTAATCTACTATTGAATGGATTTTAATTTGAATTCTAAAAATCGAAAACCAATCAGATTCTGACTGATGAATCTAACAAAAGATAGATTGATCCAAACGGGGGAGTGGTGTCCAAAAGGGCAATTTATATCCTGCACCACGACGCGCGTTGCATTGTGCGCCCAGATACAAAACGACGTCGTTTCAGATTTTTATTTTTATTTTTGAAATTTCGCTACCCAGTGTTTGGCGGTTAATTTTCCTGAAAAAAAAATCTCATGTTCAAAAATGTACATAATGTTATACATGAATGTACATAATTGTATACATGAATGTACATAATTGTATAACAAAATATACATGTAAACACAAAAAAAAAGTAAACTTTGTATATATTTCACAAAATTCTGTGTACAGTGTATATAATTCAAGGTGCAGGTACAAAATCTCTGTATGGTCCTCTGATTCTTCACTGACGTTATCTACTGAAGTGCTTCGGGATTCAATTAGCGTAGCCTCCGGGATTCAAGTGGCGCGTGCCTCCAGGATTCAAACGGCGTAGCTTCCGAGGTTCAAGTGGCGTGATCTTCAACAGCAAACGTCAAGCTTTGAAGCAATCAACTCTGCAAAATATCAAATTAAAGCGCCTGCAATGGCTTCAAGATGCCTTCAAAAGGCTTCAAGATCTTCAAAGTACCTACAAAATGGCTTTAAGTTGCTTCAAGATCTTCAAAACCTGCAAAAAAAAGTCTTCAATGCCTTTAATTCTTCAAGATCTTCAAAACCTGCAAAAAAATGCCTTCGATGCCTTTAATTCTTCAAGATCTTCAAATGCCTTCAAAAGATCTCTCAAATCTTCAAGCCTTCAAGTTGTCAAGCGTTCTTCAATGCCGTCAATATATTTAAGGTGTGATTTAAAGAATGAAATTGAGGCTCTATTTATAGTGAAGTTTGTAACTAAAATCCCTCAAAAAACTCCACTAATATTTAGTTAATTAAATTAATTAATTATCTACTAAAATGAACCTTGCCAAAATCAAGTCTAGGTTCATTATTCTATCATCCAATTCAAATTCAAATTAAATTATAATTATCTAATTCAAATATAATAAAATCATATTATATTTAAATTATAATTATAATTATAATTCAATTATGAAATGGGCTTGGACCAATTAATTAATTAATTCAATAGCCCAAATTAAATTTACTTGGACTAATTTAATTAATTTAATTATCATAGCCCAATTAATTAAATTGGACTAATGGTCAACCCCGAAATTGGGCTCGATAATGATTTAATCGGTCCACTTGTCGGCTTCAAATTTTTTGTGTCTACAAATTGCCCCCTCAAGACTTTCTTGGACATGCCACTTGAGAGCATACACTGCTTGAAAGTATGTAGTGCATGGAAGGTCTCGAAACTATAAGGCCATTTCAACTCGTGCCAAGGAGCCTTGTGGGATATGAGGCAGTTTTGACTCGTGCCGGGGAGCCTTGAAGTAATATGAGGTAGTTTTGACTCGTGCCGGGGAGTCTTTAAGGAATATGGGGCAGTTTTGACTCGTGCCGGGGAGCCTTGAAGTAATAAGAGGCAGTTTCGACTCGTGCCGGCGAGTCTTGAATATGATGCGTTTTCAATTCACATTGAGGAAGCTTAAAGAATATTCCTCCATCACATATTGTGGTATAATGTGTTGAGGCACATTTTTCTCTAGCATATGGGTTGATTAGAGGAATTTTCATCTTCATTCCTTGGTTAGTTGGAGTAATATGGAACCACTTCGGCACGTAATCCGCCAATGTGACTGGACTCGTGTTTTCATATGGTGGCCGCAAGTCCTCCCATCAATAGAGCCCTTTAGCATTCTCTTCTTAACACACCTTTTCATAACTTGTTTAGCATGCTTAATACCATGCCGAGTATCATACTCGGGTTTGGTATCATAAGACTTGATGTTAAGAGGGAATAAACACTTGTGTCGTTTTCTATTTCCCTTCACATTGTTCTTCTCAATGAGTAGCGAAGTAGATTTACCGCATGAGATGAAAACTTGATTAGTGCTTGCTGTGCCATCTGCAAGTTCAATTCTCCCATCTCAAGCTAACTCCATTACTTTATCCTTAAAGACAAAGCAATTTTCAATTGGATGTCTAACAAGTCTTTGATACTTGCAATAACTCGGATCATCCATCATTGATGCCTCGTGTGGTCGCCTCATTTCTGGCAAATCAACGAGATTGTGCTTTAGTAGCTCATTAAACATATGTGGGACATCATAATCCAATAATGGATACTTCTTGTTTTGTCTTTCCTTGAAAGAAAGCATTCTACTACCATGTAATGATCTAGAAGCATCCTTAGTGTAACACCCCGAAATTTTTAAAATTTTAGAACTTATATAAGAAAGGTAAATCCTCATTAAATCTCGAAATCAAACATAAGAGTATGGGGTGTTATGCCACACCTGAGCTAGAGAACTCAGGTGCACAGGCTAACTAACTAAAAATCCTCAAAGTAATGTCAGCACATAAGCATGGCACGCAGGCCGAAAGGGAAACTAGCTACTCTACGCTTCAGATCTCTAGCGCGCTCCGGTTTCTACTCATCTG